AGTTTAGAAGATGGACCAGTAGGTCCCACGTTGTCCGAAAACATTGTCATGCTATTATTCCATTTAGTTTGCATAAAATCATGAACATATATAATAGATAATTGTTATTGAGTGCATTTAATGCATTTTGTAATCCCATGCAATATGTAAGTTTATATTGGTTTTACACAAGTTTTTTTGCAAAGATTAGATTTCGTTATTAATTTTGTAAATAGCAACCAGATGGGACTGAATTCTGTATTCTCAAGCCTCTGTTTTGATTCATTTAATCTTTAGTAAATTGTAATTTTTAAATTGATGTGTGTATGTCTTTGATATGTTTCTATATTCTTTCATTTGAAAATCAACCAACATAGAACTTAATTATTTTTCTTCTTTGTAAAGGTCATTGAGAAACAGGCTTATGTCTTCCTGAACATCATGCCACAACAAGTGAATGACAGTTACCTTTCACAGCTTCTTAAAAAGGTAGTAAAGCTTGAGTCAGTTGATTACTATGTAAATCTATATGAGATGAAAAATAAATAATTTGCCTATAGAATGGAACCTGTAGTTCCTACTGCTGAAAAATGCCCAAGGAAAATGTAATTTATCTATTTAAAAGTTCATCTCAAAGAATTTAGACTTTTACAAAAAAATTGACTTGTTATTTGTGAATTCAAAAAATGAACAACTTTATATGTTTTTAGCAGTCTGAAATATATTTTATTAACTACTTTGAATAATTTTGTCAAATAACTAATGAGAAACTATAATTTATATATTATTTATTAATATGCAAAAACAATATTCTTTGATTTGGCTAACTAGTAATGTTTCAATCAATGATCAAGTATTTTGTGGTGGTTTAAGAAATAAAGAAAAATGCCCAATAAAAGTATTTGGAAATCTTGAAAAATTTATAGTAACTGTAAAATATAAAATGTTATATTAATCACTATAAAGAACTTGTCAACTTTGTCAAATGTGCAGTTTGTTTTATGGTCTAATTTTTTAAGTGCTGAAGTATGCTGTATGTTTGTCACAAACATTCTCATCATATATGACACTAAACCAAATGCAATGGTTTTCTTCATGCATTGGCACTTATACTCATTAGGTGATAGTTCATTCGTAAGAGGTTTTTATTAAGAACTCAAAGAAATTAAAAGAGTAGTGGTAACTTGCACTTTTGGCATCAGAAATAGTACTTATTTACGTGAAGCTCTCAAACCTCTTTTATTTCAATGAAAATAATTAGAGTAAAATATATAGTATATACACTTTGCTGTCATATCTACTGTATATTTACCTTATGGCTAAAAGTATCATTTGACAGTAGAGCTGGAGGACTTAATCAGTATAATTAATTACCTATTAGCAGCTATTACATTGATTAGTGTCATGTAAACTCAGGGTTATAGTTATGGTGGGCAGGGCCACCCAGGACTCGTTCCGTTTGCCCAGCACACCCATGTAATGTGACTACTGCCACCTGGCACTAAATATCACTGAGAAAAAGTTCACCATAAGCATAAAAACTTTCTTTGTCAATGTTGCAGTACAGTTTACTTTGCAATTAGCTTGTTAGAAACACTATTCCAGAAAAGTCACGATGCAAAAAAACCTTTGTGCTAAAATACTTTTCAAGTAGAGTCTACAGGAAGAATCCAGCACGTGAAACTGAACAAATGGCTCATGCCATGCTAATTCACCTGTACTTAGCGGGAAACATCAGACAATATCATTTACGGTGGATACCATACAAACCCTATTTTCTTTCCATTAAAATTTTGTGTGGTGAGTAAAAATATTTTCAAAATTTTATGGATATTAAGATATAAAAGTATATCAATATGTTCTTTGCATAATTTTTTTTTAAATCTCATTGTGAATCATTTGTATCGATTAAAGTTAGATGAGTCACAAAAATAAAACTCAGCCTAGAGTAAATGTTGTCTCCATCTTTATTTTTTTTAGACTCGTCATTCACCTTCTAACCTGTTTGCCTAGTGACTACTCATGTGGAATGTTTTATTGGACTTTCTGAAGAAATTTACAAATTTCAAAGTTATTAAAATTATGATATATTAAAATTTTAAACATGAAAAAAATAATAACCTTTATTTTCTTGGCAGCCTGGAAAGGGGGGGGGGGGTACTATGGTGGCAGCCACAGGCATGTGCGGCTATGGTCTAGACTGGTTTTTACTGTCCACCATTCAAAGCATCTTAGCTATAACCCTGTGTAAACTAATCAATTAATCGAAATCACAATTGAATTGATTAATCAAAATTAGTATTTCTGTTTATTACTGTTTTTAATTATTCAAAGAATCAATCAATCAAAATTGGTGTTTTTGACTACTGCTGTTTTCAATTGCAGTTATTGTCATAAAAATAACAAACTAATCAAAAATAGGGTTTAGAATTATTCCATCTATCTTGAACTGCTGACTAGAGGAAAAGCAACTTTTTTTTGTTTGTACATAGCGGGGCTTGAGAAATACTTTACTAATCAATTAATGAGGTCGTCAGTTAATTGTCAGCACATACCACTAATTCTCCAGCTCTGGTTAAAAACAAAGGTACCCAACTGATGAAACCATGCATTCTAACCTTTACAAGAATGAATGTAAGAAAAGTATATTTAATTAGCTTTACTCATTACAAGAATGATTTTTAGTTTCACTGTAACTAGGTAGCTTGCTCTGATTGGAAGTTAGTATTAATTAACATCATATCAAAAGAACTGAATTACTGTATCTACTTGTATAATATCTAAACTGAGTATGCAGTTTACACTATTGTAAACTAATATAAGTTACTTGTTTAGACTGTTGTAAGAGTTTACATATAAAGTACTTATGTTCAGCCTTAGAACAGTACTCTAATATGATCACTGGACCACGTTACTGGCTACCACTTTAGTGTTGTGCAACCATGTGGATAGCTATAGGCTATAAGTTAATACTTGCAGTACACTTAACACTGCTACTTCCAACATGTGATAACAGTGAACTTTTGTTTTTTTCAATCTGGAAACTTGTATATATATGGAGAATAGTAAGCTGATGTGTACTAACATAACAAAATTGCATGGTCGATTATCTGTCTATGGTAGCACATATTCCCATCAAAGTTTCCTGCTAACACACCTGCTTCATAGTCATATTGCACACATTAACTTAATTCAGGTAATATATTTATACAGTCATTAATTTTGTTGATTTTAAATGATGTGTTTGTCAAATTTAAGAGTATTCTTACATCATTCAACTTGTAAGAGATGTATACATCTTGTGAATTACCTTTAAATTAAAATTACATGCATTGAGAAGAGAAAGGAAATTTGCTTGCCTATATTTTCAGATTCAGCAAACTCAAAGTATTAAAATAGAATAAGCTTAACTTCTTTTAGCCTCTTTTCTAATTTCTGTATTAGTAAGTTAGTGTTTTTAAGTTTCATTATTGCTTTTTCTTTTCTTTTCATCTGTTATAAAATTATACAAAGCTTTTCTTATTTGCTATTGAGAAAATTTAAAACATATAGTTTTGTAATTATTTTAAAATATCATTTGCTGGTGCATAGATTTAAAAAAAAAAATTCTTCTATCTGTCCATACCTTGAGTTGTGAATGGAGTCTTAAATTAGCCTCAATTTTACAATATATATATATATATATGCATGCTTTCCTAACATCTTAGACAGTGCATGTATTTTGATTTGAGTTTTTTTCTTGTGTCTTGGACTCATTTGTACAGACAAGTCTAACCTTATTTGCATTGGTTTTTTCCTAATTAAAGTTGTATGTTATTTGGTTATCTGGAGTTTACAGAAGTTATTTGAAAAGAAAGCAAACCCTTTGGGTTGGCATGTTTTTTACTTGGGCTAACATAACTACGTTTTGAAGTTTTATATAGCTAGAAATTTATAATTCTGCAATATGTTCTTTGAGGTTCCTTGAAGCTTCCATAACTGTTTTTCTTTTTGTATGTATGGTAAACTTTTTCATTTTGATTTGTGTTATTTATGTTTTATTTCTGTCATTAAAATATTGAGTATGATGGATTTTCTTTGTTTGTTGTGTCAGCAGTGACTAATACAGCATACACCTTGTTTTGTTATAAGATTTGTATTTACTGCGATTTATGTTCTCTTGCCTCATTGTTAGTTATACATGATTGACTGAGTCCTGATCATTTGTTAGTATAAATTTAAACTGACTAGTGGAAGTGGATGTGGTTTTATATCTTGCTTTGTTTGGAGTTTTCGCCATTTTACAGAGAAATTTCAGTTGGTTTGAATATATGTTCCTTTTATTACCCTTTTAAAAATACATGAAAGTTTCTTGATGGTGTCTTCAGGACACATGAAATATGTTTGGGCTGGTCTTCATGTAGTCATTATTCTCTGTTAAACTATAGGGTATCCCAAGGGACTTACCAACTAGAGGTGGGTAATTGGAGGAATTTGCTAATCAGTTATACTCAAACAATAGGATTAATACAATCTTTTGGCAGTGCTGTGATCAGTATTGGCACATTTTCTGTCCACTATATTATGGTCATTTGGCCATAGTATGTTATTGTGTAGAGAGACTACTGAAATAATGTTGTGGCAAAAATAAATTGAAATATTTTAATAAAAGTATGAAAGGAAACAAAAAAAAGTCTTGAGACAAATATTAAGAATACTGTTTCAGACTTTTCATTGCTTCTTATTGTATAATTGTTGTCATGAAGTGTAACTACTAGATGTTTAATTTGTAGCAAGTTACCCAAATGATGAAAAACATATATGTGACATTATGGAGTAGTAGTTTTTTTTTTTAAGTGTTTTTGACATATGTATAGTTATCAAATAGCAAGGATTTCCTTGCTTAGTCAAAATATGAATTATTTCTGAAGGAAAGTTTGTTGATTTTTTTTTTCCATTTGACACATCTTGGTAAGAATGGAAATCCATACATTAATGTATATACATTTTTTGAGTAAGTGTATTTGAGACCATTTTGTATTGGCAGAGCGAAATCTTGTAGAATTCATAAAATATGTTGGGAAATGATATAAGGGAAGTTTAAGGAAGACGACTTAGAATGGCAGTATTATTTTAATTCTATAGTACAAATGTATGAAATGTAGATATTAGTTTTGTTCCAAACCATAGCATTTATTTTCATGTTTTGTTTCTCATTCTTTATCTTCATATTTTAGTTTTCTTAGTTTTGTGTTTTTGAAATTATATGTACATAGTTTTCTTTTGTGTAAACTAGAGCTGGGTGATTAACCTGACTAATTGAAATATTAAAATACCTATGAGCATTGATTACATTTAATAATGTCACATAAAATACTCAATTAATCAAAAGTCTGATTAAATCTGTTAATGTCATGAAAATAAGTAATGTTTTTGATTATTCCAACTATCCAGTAGATTAAAATGATAATTAAATCAACTGATGTCATCAAAATAATCAACTAATTAGAATTAGTGTTTATGATAATTATTTTCTTAGATTATTCCAACCATCCGGTAATCAAAGTTACAATTATTAAATCAATTAATGTCATTAAAATAATCAACTAATTAAAATTAATGTTTATGATCATTATTTTCTTAGATTATTCCAACCATCTGGTAATCAAAGTTACAATTATTAAATCAGTTAATGTCACAAAAGTAATTAAATTTAGGGTTTGCAATTATTCCAACTTTTCAAGTAATTGAAATATTGCTATTATGTTTGATTGTTGTTAAGTACAAAGCTACACAATGGGCTATCTGTGCTCTGCCCAGAACCTGATTTGTAGCATTATAAGTTGTTGTTTTTTGGTCAATTCATATGAGAAAAATCTGTATTCTTTTTAGCCATCTCATAGGAATAATCAATTATTTTGAGGTAATTTATTAATTAGACTAATGATTAATCACTTAGCAAGTTTCACTAATTGCTCAGCTCTAGTGTAAACATTTAAAAGTAATGTAAGAGAAAATGTTTAGAAATTGGGAACTTATGATTTGCTTCAATTTAAGAATTGTACTTTTGTGATTATATGAAATTCATATGTTTATGAAATTTTCAATTTTTTTTTAATAGTATCAGCATCAAGATTTAACAAAAAGAGATGTTCTAAATGCTATACATCATTATAAAAATTTGATTCCTAAGATAGACAGATTTGGTAAGTTCACTTTTAATGGAGGTTTTTTTTTTATGTACTTACTTTTTGTAGTACAGTTTTACTTACATATGTAATCTGCAGGTAATTTAGGTAAAGTGATCTAAAAAGAAGGCATTATTGCATGTCCTTACCTACTTTTTTACCAGCCAGTGAAAACAGGATTAATACAGTAGATAAGTTATAACAATAACTGAATGAGTGTATAGTAGATGTGAGAGTAGTACAAAACACTGCACATTACAGTACCCTCCGTACTGATGCAACATGCATTATTTTAGTAACTGATTTGCATATGTAAACATTTTTGAAGTTTATTTAGTTTGTGTATTAATGTGTGATATTGAAAAAAGTAAAACATATTGTTACAGTATATATTTTCTACAGATTTATTTTTATAATGAACATTTTTATATAATCAGTTTCATCAAATTTATTTCCAGATGTACATACATTTTTCAGATTTGAAAGTTATATAAAACTATAGCAGACAAATGGTTCATTTGAAGTGAATGCATTATTTGAGCACAGTTATATTTTTTGTGCAGTAACACCGAATAGGATAAGTCTTCCCACAGTTATGTCAGTGGTTAGATTTAACATAAATACATGTGAATAATATGCATCATGTAAAACAAATCTGTGTGACAATTGTGCACGTTTCTTTTGCATGTGTAATACTTCCTGTGGTTGGTTTCTGTTTTAAATTTAAAAGGATTTAGCTTCAGTTACCTAAGTAAGTACAAATATTTTTGACTGCAATATGAAAAGATATATAATTGTTAAACGAACAACTGAACTTTGTGTTGAAGAAGCTCTAAAATTTCTGCTTTCCAATATTTCTTTTGACCATATGTTCTGCTCTGCTTGGGAAAGCCACTGTCAACTGATTCACTTTGAATAAAAATGTTAATACTTTATTTCTACCTTTTGTATCAACTTTTCATTATGACACATTGCTAGCAAAGTGTCATAATGAGTGACACTTTTTTTTCTGCCATTTTGGAATGCCATGGATAAGTGTCTAATTCTTGAGCTTTAGATGTTTTCTAATCAGATTATTAAGTTTTTGTCAGCTATTTATCTATCTCTGGAACACTGTAAACACTTGTAATTCAGTTACAGGTTGTTCTTAATCAGCAGAAGTTCTTTTTTTTTTCAGTAAGTTGTTTTTTACATAGTTTTTGGGTTCTGGTCTTGTAGTTGTTTGTTGCTTTTTACCTGTTCCAGTTCATGGTTTTGATTAGAATATTTCTTCTTTTGATATATAGTAGAGGAATCTAAGTTATGGGGCCCCAATAATTCTTTCAGGAGGTTTTGGACTATTGCTATTGCAGGGGTTTTCCCACCTTGTGTTACTCAACAAGGTGAAAGTGTTTTTGGGTTTTGTTTTAAGCATCAAAACTGTCTAGTTTGGTAAGTCAGTGTATTGTTTTAACTAAAAGTTTTTATAGTACTCCTCATTTGGAACAACCTCCGAGGTAAATTTGGCTCCTTATCACCTCTCAGATAGTAGTTTTTGCTTGATGATTGTTTTGAACTTCTGCTGATTTAGCCTGGAATTGTCTTCTCATCTTCAAACTTCCTGCTTAATGTTCTGCTTCAACTTTTTTTTTTCACTTATAATTCAGCTAATTCTCAACCCCTAGTATATACTGGTGAAGAAATGCTTCATCCTCTCTAAGGATCTTCATGTTATGGAGTATTAAATGAGGATGATTTAATTTGTTAGTCTCTAGGCTATGACTTTGCATCCTTACAACTGAACTACTTGGCAGCCTTTGAAGTGACCATTGGCACCCACCAGTCCAATCTGAAAAGAGACAATTAATGAAAAGATTTGGTTTAATCACATATAGTGTTGATTACTAAAACATTGTTTAATAATTTCTTGTTTCAATATTTTAATTTTAGTGTAATAGTTAGAAACAGTGTATAAAAATCTATCCCAAAACAAAATTAAAAGATATTAAAGGCAGCTTTTAACAAGGATTGTTTGTCTTAAAATGAATAAAAATGTATATTATACTGCAAAATCTCCATTTATTCATTTTTCATCAGAATGCTTTGTTTCCATTTTCATTCAGGTGAAAATCAAACACAATATAAAACCTCAGAAGACATATAGCTATTTCTAGAATAAGTATTCCAGAACAAACATGTTGCATTAATACCTGGATATCATATGCAAAGGCTTTCATTTTGTAAAATATATAATATGATTGAGAATAATAATTGAAAGTCACATTTAAGTTAACTTAGTTTATAAATCTAGAAATTATTCTGAGTGGCATGAAATTAATGATGAAATTGAATATAAAATTTGACAAAAAATAAATTCCAAAGTTTACTGAAATTGTACTGCATCTATTATATCGGTAGTAATTTGTTTTGAATAAGAAATTGAGTTTACATCAAACCCATATTTAGTGAAACATTAATGTATGGTGAATTTGATTTCCAGTGTTTAATGATGGAACAACTAAAGATTTGATGTGTTTGACAGGAACAATACCTGTGCCATTCAAAGGTGAGTTGTGTCCATTGTCAGAGCTTTATACAGAAATAATCAACTTGAAGTTCTCTATAGTATTGAAATATCCTGGTATAATATTAGGTATTTGTTAATGTACTTGTTTTTTTGTTTTTTTTAGAAAGTATTATTGATGTTGTTGAATATTAATAAATTAGAAATGTCAATCTATTATTTAAGAACAGTTTCAGCAATAGTTTAACTGTTAGCTAACGTAAAAGTTAAGGCTTTGCTTCTATTCACACCTGGAACCCCATGGAATTTGACTCCCTAAGCAGTTGTCTGTGTTACTTGTATTTAATTCTAGGCCTGTAAAGTAAACTACCTTTGATTTGTCAATAAAAATTGTAATAAAGATAAGTGACATTACAAGTTTGTTGAAAAATGTTTGTGAAATAAAAGAGAATCAGTAAAGTAAGTCCTGGCATACATTGTTCACACTGACAAAAAAAAAACGTATATCAATTGTAGGTGTGTGTATATGTTAAAGCAAGTACCTTATTTTCTTTCTAACTTAAAACTTCATTTTAACTGAATTTTTATAGTGTTTTTGCCAGAAACCAGGGTACCCACCCATCACGACTGTTACCAAGTTCTAAGTTTACTACCAAGTTCTTACAAAAAAGTTATGCAAAGTTTAAGTCAAAGTAATGTAAACAGAGATGCAGACAAACTATTATTTTTTAGAGAAAACAGCAAGCAAAAAAAGTGAGTGAAGACAAAAGTGGAAGCAATCATAGTGATAAAGACATGGATTAACTTCTAGTGGCGGGACAGCAATATTGATTTGGAAATCGTTGATTTTTAAGTGTACAAAAAAATTCCTCGACCTTACAAATCAAGTTATTCAACTGTTCATTATTCTCTCAAAAGTTGCTTATACCATACTAACTTTTACCTCTTGCATTGACAATAATGAATAAAGGAGACAAAAAATCAATTAAGTAAGCAACATATTTTAAATAGTCCATTTAAAATTTTTCTTTGTTAAATAATCATCTGCTGATTCACTACATGCAGTCAGTTCACAGTTACCGGCATTTTGTAGCATTGCACGATTGACATTCTAGGACAGAAATGAGGCCTCTCACTCATAGAAAACTTTCAAACCTGATGACTGTGGGATTTGTAATAGTAAATACTGTCAATTATTGTATCAATATAAATATGATACATTTTTGTATAACTAGTTTAATTTGTTTCAACTGTAGCAAGCTGCTGCTTGTCATAAATTGAGGTATTAGGATGCGATGATATTTGCTGTAGAGTTGTTGTTTCATTTCACTGCAATTTAAGTGAAAAACTTACACACTAATCGTAATGGGGAATTATCAAAGTTTTGTTGTTGAAATGTTAGAGGTAAGCTCCGCTCATCGATTGTGCTAACTTTTCTGATAGTGCAGGTGCACTCAGCAGTCTTGTAATCTCTCATTGTGTATTATAATGACAGGTGGCTGTAGCTGCCATAACATCGTAATGCAAATGTACCTGTTCAAACACTAAATTTTTATTATCACCAAAAAATAACCCTTCTTAACCATATGTGTATAAATGAGTAAAACTGTACAAGTTACGACCTTTTTACAGAGTTATATTCAAAATTCAGTTAAACTTTATTATCAATGTATTTCAATAAATTTGGCATAGAAATTTAGTTTATAATTCAAATTTATCTCTATCGAATATAGGCTGTACTTAATAAAGGCTTAACTAATATTAGGCCTAAGACAAGTAGACTTGTACATTTCGGTGTCTGATTAAAATTCTTTTGTATCATTCTAGAAATTCTGTATTTAAAGAAGTACTGTTGCAATAAAAATACTTATTTAACTGCAAATATTTGATGGGTCTCTGCTAATTTGCTTCTAATTTATTGAAACCTTTCTTTTGTAGGAAATACATACAATATACCTGTAAAGATATGGCTACTGGACACTCACCCTGTGAATTCACCCATGTGTTACGTTACACCCACATCAGATATGAAAATCAAGGTGTCAAGGAATGTTGACCAAAATGGCCGTATATATCTGCCTTACTTGCATGAATGGAACCCAGTGAGTTTTTTCCTTTTTTCTTACACAGCATTTAAAAGTTAATTTTTTCCATATCATTGAGAACCTTTCAGGAGTCGAGCACATGCCTGCATATAAAATTACAGAATTTAAGTAAAAATAATGATTCTAACTTTATTTCAACAATTTTTTACTCAAACATATTTAATAATTCATTATTTGTCAATTTGTAACATTAAATTTCTGCAAAGCTTCAAGTAGTCTTGTTTGTAAACAATGAACTTTTTTATTTTTTCAAATTGTTCTGACCATACAAAAGCATAAGTTTATATTTGGTGAGAAACCATCATCTCTTGAAAATAGAATTATACATGTTTTGTTTCTTATGTTGTTTATCTTTTCTTTCTGTGCTTTTATTACTACATGTCTCCATTCACACCTCTTTATGATCTCATAACTACTAATGAAGCTCTGCTTTGAGAGTAGCTACAGGCAAAGGTTAAATAACATTGGATAGAGCATATTATAAACTATTTACATCAGTATAAAATGAATACACTGGTGTGAGATGTAATTTATAGTTTTGAGGAATGTGACAACTCGTAGATTCTTCTAAGAAGAACAATGAAATCTAATGAGAATTTTAGAAAACTTGGGAACAAACCACAAACCTGGGAATCTTTCTATAGTTTCTTTAAATTTTACTTTCCTTTCTTAAAATATATTTGCTAGACAGCTGTGGAAAATTATTCACTGACATCAGATAAGGATTATTAGTGAAACTTTGTAGAATGGACAGCAACTACCTGTTGTAGAGACACAAGTGTGGAGGACGACGTTTCAAAAGTCTTTCTCCTTTCGTTTTCAAGTCAGTGTGTGCAAGGTATTGTTGGTCTTTATAGTATTTTAGTGTACTGTGAAGAGCATGTTATGATTGGTTAGTTTATCCCTGTTTCTGATTGGAGGAGAGATTTCCTGTAGATTCAACCAATGGTATTTACAGGTTATTTACCTCTAATCCAGAATCTCTGTTTTGTGAAGGTTTAATTGTGTTAATATAAAATGATTCTTTAATTTTTATTGTTTTCCAAAAGTTGTATCTGTAGATGATTCTAGTTTTTTCCCAGTTGACATGTCATGTTCTGCAATGGCTGAATTTTGTGTTTTCATGAGTCTTGTACTGTCTTTATGTTCTTTTCTTTTTGTCGTGAGTCTTCTTCTCATTTCTCCAATCTATGTTTCGTTGCAGGAACATGGAATTTCATAAATGATGTTTTGTGTTTCTCAGTGGTAGGTTGCTGTTTGTTTTTTACCAGAATGGATCTTACACACTCAATGTCTTGTAGGATTCCCACTAGACTTCTGTGTTGAATTTTTTGGCTATGTGTTTGAGTTTTTCACTGATATTTTGCAGGTAGGGGAGGTAAATAGTAGTAGTGGTAGCATTTTTCTGATTTTTTTTTTTCTGTTGTGGTCTTCCTCAGGGAGTTTTTGATGGAGGAGGAGTTGTAACCATTCTGTTTAAAACCCTCTACAATCTTTTTGCATTCTGTTTTGATGGATGTCTCATCGCAAATGTTTTCTGCTCTCTTGTTTAAGCATTAGATTATACCACGATTTATCGAGGTTGGATGATAGGACTTGAAGTATAGGTGGGTGGGTTTTCTGTATACAGTTGTGGTGATTTTTCTCTCTTGTCTGCTGATGAGTATGTCAAGAAATGGTAGGCTGTTTTGTTCCTCTATTTCCATGGTGAAGTGGATTCTTTTGTCTATAGAATTAAGATGTTCTAAGAAGGCTGGTAAGTTTTCACAACCATGGGGCCAAATAACAAAGGTGTCTTCAACATAACGTCCGTAGAAACTTGGTTTTATGTGTGTGGATGAGAGAGCACTTTCTGCAAAGTCTTCCATGAAAATATCTGCTAGGACTGTAGAGAGCGGTGATCCCATGGCTAGATCATCTCTTTGTTCGTAGAATTCCTCGTTGTATTGGAAATAAGTTGATTGTATACAAATAGTCATTAGTTCCATTATGGCGTCTATCTTCATGTCAGTTCTGTGTGGTAGAGAGTTGTCATTCAGCAGTCATTGTTTGATGATGTGAAAGGTTTCTGAGGTTGGAACATTGGTAAATAGGTCTGTGACATCAAAACTGACCAAAATATCCTGGGATCTAATGTGTAGCTTTCTGAGTTGTTCTATGAAATCTGTCGAGTTTTAAATGTGATGTTCAGTATTCCCTCGTATCTATCAAGGAAGGGTTATTAGGTTTAACTCTTTCCACATGGACTCTGTCGAATTGACTGACCACATGACCATTTTGTATTCGTTTAATGTCCTCTTGGTTTTGATATTACTAATTTTTAATATAGTATGTATATAGACTTTCAGTAAACATTACAAGTCTTTTACATACAAAAAAATCGGATTTTTCAGTGAAGTATTTTTAATAAACGAAAAAAGACTTTTCTGTGAATATATTAAGTCTTTTTTTTTTACTATTCCGAGTGCAAAGTGATTTTCATGTTAAGATTAAAAATACTTCTTTTTAT